GTAGAGGGGAAGGAGAACCTCCCTCGACCTGCTGGCCACACTCCTCCTAATGCACCCCAGGTACATTAATCATAATATCATTATGATTAGTACCCAGTAACCCCAAGGACTGTGCTGAGTATCACTCTTGTGAATTAATATTGTAATTTCAGAATTCTTAAAGCATTCCTCATGTTCTTTCAGTATTTTCCCCTAAATTGAATCTAATACAGATTAAGTAATAGACATTTCATATTTGGAGTAATATACCTTCATATGAAAAAAGTGAAAATAAACTGTCTTGGTGAAAATATCCACCCAACCTTAACCCAGGAGCCCCTGCTAAAGCTTCCAAAACATGATTACCATGACAAGGACTCTACTGTGATACAAAAGACAGTAGAAGGCAAAGCAAAACATATAAATAGGATGGGAATTTTGAAGTGTGATCAAGAAACTGAAAGATGATTGATTCATTCGTGTAATGTTTAAATATGGCGTATGCACATACGTACTGTTAAATAGTGATAATTTTATGGCTGGTATCCCCAGTGTCAGGCGAGGGAGGCTTTCACCTGCTAATTGTGTTTATACGATATCAAAAAGCAATTTGTACCAAAAGTCTGTCATTTAATCCCTCTTCCACCCAAAAAAGTTCAAATGGAGTAAACTTTAAACATGTTACTCCCCAATATGTTTTGAAAGCAATAGTTAAAACATTATTTCAAAAATACGCTTGCGTCACTTGGCTGTGAGGGAGGGTCGCATGATGTTGATTTTTCTTTTCATGTTCTGTTCTGCACGTCATCATTGGATTAAATGATTTGGAAAAACCTTGATGTCTTTTCGAACTGTCTTGTGTGGGTGGGCAAGAAGCAATGTTTTTTTCTGAATTTTTAAACACACTGGATGTTTGATTCAAGCATTGCAATTAATAAAATACTTGCAGCACATGATGAGTGTAACAAACCAGATTTGCAGCTAACTTTCGCAGCACATCTCCAGAGCAGCTCACCTTACCATTTTACCTTGCAGACGCATTAATCTGGGGAATTCATTTTGCAGGGTCATTGTATGGGCGTTGATCTCCTGTTCTTTGAAGATTGGTTCAACCCTCATGAAAAAGAAATTCTCATTCTTGGGAATTTCATATAAACTAAGCTGTGTATAAGAAGCCCAACTGGTCCTGCTTACATGAAGACAAGTTCTAAAAGCCCCTTTGAGAGGTGCTGGACACAGGAGTTGGTAGGACGTAGGTTATGTGTGACTGTCTAAACAGAGCATGCTGAACTTCCCTTTGGCATTGCAAGACTTCAAACTGATGTTCTCATTCCTTCTAACTAAAGAAAGGTGTACCAGTATTTGAAACCTTGGTTTTTTTTCCTTTTCATGCAAGCTGCCTAATTTATTGTCTAGTGCCACAAGAAATCTGCTCTAAAAAGCCTCATATTTCCCTAATTGCTAGCAAGGAATGATTTACCACCACTCCCCAGTTTAAGTGTTAGGGTATGCCCTAATTTGGCCTGCTGAAGTTCACAAATAAATACTAAAATCTGTTTTATAAAGATTGGCTAAATTTGAAGTATTGATAGGGGGTATTTACCAATACCTATTTCAGAAGTCCTTAAGATTTATGTTTTTTTTTTTCTTTAGAACAGAATGAAGAATAAATGAATGACATAACTGACCAAAAAGATTAATATATTATTGCATGATGTGAATAGAAAATGCTTCCTGCTGTGACTTCAGATAGCTGAAGACAGGATACAGTTAACATAGTTCATATAAATTAAGCACGTTAGCTGAAGGATTAGATTTTTAAAAATTAATTTTAAAGTGTCCATTACTGTTCCAGATATAATGGCTTTTACTTTTTAATCTTTGACCATTTTTACCTGGCATTTTTTTGTAGATATGTATGACTGACTTTCATAAAGCTCTGTGTAAGTATTTCTGCTTTTCAGGTGGCATATCATTGTTGATATTTAGTTCATTTCCAAGTTGCCGTGTTTTAGTGTGGAATACGATGTTTCTGAACAGTCTGCTTCTGAGTCTGTAATCTGTTGCGGATGATATTTCTCTTAACTTTTCAGACAAATCCAATATTTCAAAAGGCAATAGTATTTTTTTTTTGCTATTTATTACAGCTTTATGTCTTTTAGTCATTTAATAATGTTTTGTTTTTTTTTTTTTTTAACTGCTATAATAATAGAGAGGAGTTATATTCAAAAAAGTTGAGGCTTTTTGCACGGTAGCACATGCACACATGTAGATATGGACCTCAGATATAATATTTGAAAACATTCATTCAACTGTTTATAGGGTCAACTCACGGAAAAAAAAATGTATCCTACTTTCAATAACAAATAACAAACTGAATATAGTATTTGCATTAACATTTTTCCTCCAAAAAGATGTAATTAACTCAAATTTCACTTAACTAGATGTTTTATCTACAGTTGTGATTAAAAAATTAGGATTAAAAGGATGTAGGAAAAAAGTGTTGCAAATAATTGCAGTTAACTGTATTTCTCTTATAGAGCAGATAGATAGATTTCAGGATGACAGTATTCCTTGTTATAGGACTTCTGGTTTTGCTATTTTATTGCTTCATAAGTCCTTTCATTTTTACTCTTACCCTAACTTAGCTGTCTCGTTGTTCCTTGTGATCCTTTTGATTCAGGATGCAGAATAGAAAACTGCGACTCCTGCTTTAGCAGAGACTTTTGTACCAAATGCAAAACTGGCTTCTACTCGCACAGAGGCCGCTGCTTCCGAGGATGCCCCCCTGGATTTGCAGCCTTGGAAGAGCTTATGGAATGTGTGGGTGAGTCTTTTAGCACAAAAGTGCTGCTGAAACAGCTCTTTTGCCAGGTTTCAAATAAGGCATGATTTTTGAGCTGATTCTTAACATTTCCTATCGAGAAATATTTGGTAATGAATTGTGTCTGGATTTCTTTACCCATAGTGGTGATAATAATAATAACAACAACAACAACAGCAATCATAATAGTAGTTATAGTGGTTGTTGTTATTATTGTTATTATTATAATTATAGTTATTTATCCTAAACTAAATTTACTTTATAATTCTGAGCCAACACTGGCAGTTCCCACAATATTTCTAGAGTCTCACAATTTGATGTTTTATCTTGAAGCCTGGGAATCATGTCAGAACAGTCTCTTTCTTTCAAGAGTATTCCTTGCATTTCATGATGGGTAGGACCTGGAAATGTGAACTCTTGAGCTTTGCAAATCCAGGTGGCAACCAGATAGGATTTATTTATTAAAGAGAGAAAAAATTAAATTGATCTCGTGATTTTAGGAGGGTTTTTGAATATTTGCAACTGACATTATTTCTACATACAGATTGATAGTCTGATGGTTTTATGCTCAGGTTGATGCTGGCTCAACTATTCTTTCAGATTCTGTAAAGAGATTTTAATTTTGTTTCTAAGTTTTTGCCTGTTAACAGTAAAACTTTCAAGTGGTGCTTTCTAATAGTGTATTCCAATTAAAAAAAATGAAAACAAAGAAAAAAAACCCGAAGGAAAACAAAACGCAGAACAATTGCTCACTCATGTTTTCTTTTGCTTTATCAGAAGGCTGTGAAGTGGGTCAGTGGAGTGAGTGGGGAACTTGCAGCAGAAATAACAAAACATGTGGATTTAAATGGGGCCTGGAAACGAGAACAAGACAAATTGTGAAGAAGCCAGCAAAAGACACGATACCGTGCCCAACCATTGCAGAATCCAGACGGTGTAAGATGGCCATGAGGCATTGTTCAGGAGGTAAGCGTAGTCCATGCCACAAAAATCTTTATGAGCTTTCCTTAACTGAAAACCTATTTCTAACTTTGCAAAGAGCTGTTTCATCCCAGCTGAAGGGGAAATCCTGTCTCTGCTCTGCCAGCCAAGGCTGAAAGGCAGCAGTACTGTGGTAGTCATAATTTGTGCAGCAAGACTCCCAGGAAAGGCTCAGCATGGGAGTGATCAGTCTCTCAGTAGGCTGTGAAACTGTTTTTTTCCTGGGGTGGTAATGGATCTTTTTTGAAGATGTGCCTCATGGAAAAACTGTAACACATTGCAGTTTGACCTTCAGCATGAAAACAATAGTGATGGTGAAAGAACTAATTGCTCTGCACATGGCAGGAAAGATTATGATTCTAAACGTTCCTGCAGATGGCACACCCAGTGCTGGTGTGATGGGTATTCAAATCAAATGAAGCTACACGTGGCATTGTTAGCTGGAGTTATTAGCTAGAACGTGTTACTTGTTCTGAATATTGTAGATCAGGGCCAAGCTGATGTGATACATGTGATACAAACAGAACAGTGATAGACATCCAGTTTTTCAGCATGACACCAGCTCATGGCAATTACCACAACACAAAAGATAAAAGAAATAATCACATTTCTTTATCATGGTGTTCTAATACTTAGTAGCAATGCTGATTTGAGAAAGGAAATGAAATTTCGAATTTATGTCCCGTTTTGTAGACCCCAAAGTGAAGACACGTCACTGGTAGAAAGGAATTTTTGTTATCTTTTAAATTTAAATGATTACAGAATCACAGAATAGTAGGGGAAAAGGACCTTGTCCAGGCAGGTCTTGAATATCTCCAGAGAAGGAGACTCCACAACCTTCCTGGGCAGCCTGTTCCAGTGCTCCGTCACCCTCAGAGGGAAGAAGTTCTTCCTCATGTTCAGACGGAACTTCCTGTGCCTCAGTTTGTGCCCATTGCCCCTTGTCCTGTCACTGGGCACCACTGAAAAGAGCTTGGCCCCATCCTCCTGACACCCACCCTTAAGATATTTATAAGCATTTATTAGGTCCCCTCGCAGCCTTGTCTTCTTCAGGCTGAACAAGCCCAGCTCCCTCAGCCTCTCTTCGTAGGGGAGATGTTCCAGTCCCCTCATCATCCTTGTAGCCCTCCGCTGGACTCTCTCCAGTAGCTCCTCATCTTTCTTGAACTGGGGAGCCCAGAACTGGACACACTGATTGACCTTTCACTTGTGCTGACTGAACGTTTACAGAATTCTCAGAATTTTTAGAAAAGGTGGGTGATCAATAAGTGATAAAGGTGCCATTCCTTTTGGAATCAGAGGATTAAAGAAAGATTCAGGCTTGAAGGGAGTTCAAGAGTTTTCTAGTCCAACCTCCTGCTGCAACCTGGGTCAACCATGAGATCAGATGAATCAAAAGCAATAAAGTGTTGAAGAGTTCTGAGAAAAGCCATAACCTGATGAATAAGCTAAAAAATCTTAGAATAGGTACATAAATAAGTTTGCTCTGTGGGGATTGTTGAATATGTCTCTCTTGCCTTGAACATACTGCCCACCAGTGAAAAAAAATACATAAAGTTTCAGTGTACAGGTTAAATCTGTACAAGCTTGGTTTTTATTTCTAGGACCCTGACACAATCTGGAAGCGAATATAAAGCTGATTCTCTGTTATCCAGGTCAACGCAGTCTGTTATGCACTCTTCCTCCCAGTCCCACTCCTTATTCTCATACACACATGCATGCACACGTAATGCATAGTCATAGTGGTCTGGGGTGCGTTGTACAGTTAATCTGCAACATAAATAAACTTCTCCAAGCCATTGAAGATTGGAACCAACAAAATTAACATCTCTATAGGAAGGAAGAAGAAAAGGTAAAAATCAAAGCTGATGTGGGCTGCTACATTACGTGTCTCATGGTAATGAGTCAACTGCATTTATATCAAGGTAGCTACGCTTACTAGTGCTTGCAGCCTGCTGAGGTGGATAAGCTGTTCCAGTTTCTTCTAACAAACTCTGAAGCTCAAATGGGGTTAGTGATAAGATGAAATGTTTCTCTGCTAAAATGGAAGGAAGAAAAAAGAGCCTGTGTGAAGTTCTTCAAAATCTCCAATCAATATTTTCTTTTTTTGCCATTCAGATGCATGAAGTTTAGCTTTTAGGGGAAAATATGAGAAAATTTCAAAATATTTTCAATTCAACTCCATGTGGTAGAGATTCAGTCATTTATGTAACCAGTGTGTAGAGAGGGAGGTATTTCATGGAAGCAGTATCCAGCTTCTATTTAAACTCCTGGCAAGCAGAAATTTACAGGTGTGAGTTTAGTCTTGATAACTTAGTTGGGATAAAAAATATTCAAATTGTTGTAAATAATTTGAGAAGTGTGCTTAAGTGGACCACAATAGTTATGAATGCTGTGGCAGGCTCATGTGACTGTGGTAATCTGGAGCTATTGAACATTCATGCCTTTTTTGTAGCAGATTCTCTTAAATTGCTTCTTGCCCAGCAATTCAGGTCACTGATTTAAAGGTTTACCTCTCAAATCTTATCTTTTCAAAGGCACAGTGGAAGGCTTTCCTAAGTGTTGGGGAATTTATTGCCTTGTCTATATCAAGATCTTTGCCCAGTTCTCTGCATTTTTTTCACTACAGATCAGGAAAGTAGTGGCACATGCAAATTCAGAGTGAAAGGCTTGTAGTACTTGTAGTTTTTGTAGTACCATGGGGTCCACTATATCCTAAAGATTACACTCCTCTCCTGTCCTGCCATGGTGTGGAATTCCCTGCCTGTATTTTCAGAGATAAATATCTACAAAACTGCACATTTGAACTCTCCACACTGAAGGCTGGTGCTTAATACTGCTTCTCTGCAATCATACAAAACACTGGCCAGAGTATAAACTCCTTTTTCTCTCCTAAGAAACTCCTGGGAGGGAGCGTGTTAATGGTGTTTTAAGTGCCTGGGGTAAGTCTTCACCTGGCCTGGCTATCTTTGCAGGTGAGGAAGCCATGGAGGTTGTCCTGTTCTAAACTCCTGCTGCATAGTATGTTTTAATTATGATTACATACATGACTGGTCTAAGATCCCATTCCTTTATCTTTATTTAATTTAGTTAGCAGGTTGCCCCATTAGACACTCAAAGTGTTTCTTTGCTTATTTACTCACTATGAAGTAGCAGGAGGCAGAGATGCTGGTTACAGGGAAGCTGAAATCAAGCAGATCCTGGTTGTTAAGGAGGAGGCTCTGTGTTTTTTAGAAATACAGTGTTTTCCTAATGTTAGAAATTTCATAACCGATCTGTTAAACAGAGGAAATAAGAGAAAAATGTAAGGTTAGCACTAGTGAGGGACTGAAGCACCATAATCCCTGTAAATGTCAGTTGAGAGACTGTTAATAGATCCTTTCTTCCTAATGTTCTCAGTACATAAACTCAAACAAATGTGTAGGATAAGTATTGGATTATACAGCTAACATGGTTGTGATTTGAGATGGATTAAATTGAGCACAGGAAGTAAGGATATTTTTGGTAGAACAGGGTCAAATAAAGTGGTTTTAACACATGCTTTTTACTTCTGTACATTTTGCAGTTACTATTTATGGTCCACATTACAGAAAAACTTCTGAAACAGATTTTTACACATTTGCAGAAGAAGTAGAGTTAAATTCAGTTTTGCTACTAAGGACATCACTTTCATATTTATCAAGGATTGAGATGTTACCCATCTGGCCATATGGCTGTGGTACAAAGCTAGCTGATGAAGAAGAACTCTTTAGCACTTCCCAGTATTTGCAGAGTTGTAGAGATACAAGCTGGAATGCAAGTGAAAGATGATTTCACTTCTTCCCTACTGAAGCCAAGCAACATAAGAGGATACTCTACTTGATTTCAAATATGTTACTCAGTGGTATTTTGTTATTGTCAGGACTAATTGATTTAACTGTTATTACCAGATGGGAAAGTCATGTTTGTGTATCTGTTCATGTTATGTATGTTACCCTGTGGCTTGGGTGTAACATGATTCATACTATGAGAGGTTAGACTCAGAAGAAGATTATCTGGATTGTTCAGGGTACCTCCTACCCATGCTAGTCTCCTCCTGATAATGAATTTTCTCCTCTTCCGCTCAAAGATAGAAACAAAGAATTTTTAAAAAAGAGTGATTGCGTTACAAGCATTTGGGAAATTAGCAGGCATAAATATTCTGTGGGCTGATACAGCTTGCTGTCTAGGAGTTTTCCCATATATTTATTATAAATAGTCTCTTTTTACTTCTTATTTTTACACGGTCCCCATGTTCACCTCAGTAAATCACTCCTCTTTTGTTTGTACCCTGGAGGTACTTGCAGAATGCTCTTATGTTTCTTGTTAAGTATTAGAAAGGCAAGCAAAGCAGCTCTCTACTTGGAGACTTATTTCCTCTGAGAGTGAATGTTTTAAAATTTCTGGCTTTAACTTGGCAACCTGCAGTATAAAGGGTCAAAAATGTTCTTGTGCGGTCCTCCCACTCCACCTGAAAGTTTGGTTTTCTTTTGAAACCTCACAGAGGAAATCAGGATTTCTCTCTTTTATAAGATTTATTTAGAAGAGGCTAACTGAATAATTTTTTAGTTATGCAGCCAACAAAGTCATACAATTATTGAATAATACAGGTTTGAAAGGACCCGAAGTGGTTACATAGTCTTACCTGCTGCTCGGGTTAGGATGAGGCAAGATGGTCCAGGGCCATGACTTTGCACTTGTTGAATTTCGTGAGGTTCCTTTCATCTACAATGAACCTCTTCTACATAAGTGAGAAGTAAATAAATTTTAAAAAGATCAAAATAAATGCAGCAACAGAACTCAGTGAGTAATTTCTGTCATCAGACAGATGATTATATTCTTTTGAGCTTTTTGACTACCTCTACACTGAAGTGCCCAATGTGGGTAAGTTTGTAAGCCAGGATGCTTTTGAGATGTTAATTTGTGCCTTGCACTTGTGGTCACAAGTAGGCACAATACCTACGAAC